ATTCAATACTAGTCAATAGCTAGTATGTATGAAAGCATTCTAATAAAAAGAGAAAAGTGATTAGTAAAAAAAAAAAAAAAAAAAAAAGCAAATTAGTGAATATAATAACAACAAAATAAAACACTCTGTGATATAGAGAACAAATGGGGAGAGGGAAGAGGGAGGGGCAAAATAGAGGTAGTGTATTAAGAGGTACAGACTATGATGTATAAAATAAATAAGCTACAAATATATTGTACAGCACAGGGAATATAGCCAATATTTTACAGTAACTGTAAATGGAATAAAATCTTTAAAAATTGTAAATCACTATGTTGTACACCCAAAACTTACATAATATTGTAAATCAACTATACCTGAATTTTAAAAGGGCTCTATACATGCAAATGATTAATGTTTTAAAATGCTATATACTTTTCTGATTATTAAAAAGTCTGATTTGTTAAATTTTGCATTCACTTTAAGTGTATCAGCAAAATACCAATGCCAACATTCAGTTTAAGAATCTCTTTCAGGGGACTTCCCTGGTGGCACAGTGGTTAAGATTCTGTGCTCCCAAGGCAGGGAGCCCAGGTTTGATCCCTGGTCAGGGAACTAGATCCTGCATGCATGCCACAGCTAAGAGTTTGCATGCCACAACTAAGGAGCAGGCGAGCCACAACTAAGGAGCCCGTGAGCCGCAACTAAGACCCGGCGCAACCAAATAATTAACTAATTAAAAAAAAAAGAATCTCTTTCATTTGGGGGAAGGAGGACAGAGACAAAGAGGGTATGTTACTTATCTTTCAGACTATTAACCCTGGTTCCAAGGGCCCAAAAATTGTTTAATAAATTCCCCACAATTTTAATAGTTATATGAAATAGGTTAATAATAGTTATTACCAGCATTTACCATTATTTATAGCTACAAATTATATGGTTTTAATTATATTATTTAATTATATTATTTAATTGTATTATTTAATTTTAAAACTAAACTTGGCGTTCAGCCCTCATAAGTATGAAAGTTTACTATTATTACTATCACTATGCATTTTGCTTTCAAGTACATATGTAAATATAAGACTACTGTTCACTAAAACGAAAGGAATAAACATCTCTATGGTCCCTCCTGACTCTTAAATATAGCCAAATACAACCTTGAGTATTTCCAGGAAGGAAATCTTTTTGGAAGTATTTCCAAATAGTACTTATTGAATCTTAGTTTTAATAACATTTATCACCAAAATCAAACTGACCTGGATCTGAACTGGGATTTACCACATACTGTATGACTTAAGTTTTCTGTAAAAGTGGGGATGACTTAATGTCAAGGTTTGTCACAAAATGTGTAATAAATTCTGGTTTTTAAAACTAAAATACCTCTGATCTTCAGAGCTATTTAAAGTTTTATTCTTAGGACTTCCCTGGTGGCACAGTGGTTAAGAATCTGCCTGCCAATGCCCGGAACACAGGTTCGATCCCTGGTCCAGAAAGATCCCACATACCACGGAGCAACTAAGCCCATGCGCCACAATGACTGAGCCTGCGCTCTAGAACCCGCGAGCCACAACTACTGAGCCTGCGCACCACAACTACTGAAGCCTGCACGCCTACAGCCCATGCTCCGCAACAAGAGAAGCCACTGCAATGAGAAGCCCGTGCACCACAACTACTGAAGCCTGCACGCCTACAGCCCATGCTCCGCAACAAGAGAAGCCACTGCAATGAGAAGCCCGTGCACCACAACGAAGAGTAGCCCCACTCACCGCAACTACAGAAAGCCCACACGCAGCAACGAAGACCCAACACAGCCAAAAATAATAAACAAATAAAATAAATAAAGTTTTATTCTAAACCCTAAGCCTTATTTATATAAATCGTTTTCCAAACAACAGTACATTCTAAGTGGTCAAAACTCTACGTCTAAATATACTATGTCAGTTTTCCAATAAAATACATGAGTGAACACACTTAAATCTAGTAAGTACTGTATGGAATTTTAATTTTAAATGGCATTTAATTTTAAAAAGTAGAAAATGGCACTTCAACAATCATTTAACACTATGTGCTAAAAACGATGCTTGAAGTATCAATACAAGACCATGTTAAGACTCACTCCTCAAGAAGCTCGGTTTAGTAGTGACACAAAAACTAAAATGTACATGCATCACTAGAACAGACAGGAATTTAGTCAGGAATGTCAAGTGGTGAAGCTTGAACTGGTTAAGTTCAGAAGTGGAATGACAAGACATTCCAGGCATAAGGAAACATGAAAAGACAGACATAGCAGAGTATGAAATAGGCAAGTTGAAATAGGTATGCTTGGAGAGGCAACATACTGCAGAGTTTGAAACGTGGCCACCACTTTTCAACTGTAACTCTGCCTCGTGTCCTCAATACAAAAAAAGGAGACAGTAAGTATTTCAGTGGGATTGTAAAATTTAAACTCTCCATTTACTGAATTGGGAGAAATGAGCAAATAAGTCTGTTTTTTTAAAATACTACCCATTACTTTTTTAAATATGTCTTTAGGCACTACGTAGATCAAATAAGGCATGCCAGCAGGTCTACCTATAATTTAGTCCAATCACTCCATCTGAGATGAGAAACTGAGATCAACCACATGACCTGCCCTGAAGGAATCTAGCTACTTACAGAATAGAGATTAAAACCTATTTTCCTAATTCTTTTCTGTGTGCTCTTTCCACTCTCCAATTCTCCTTAAGATACTGTTGTAAAGAAATGGAACATCAACACATTTGTTATTCTACCCAATAAACTCTAGCTACTTAGACTGCTTCTTTTAACCCTTCCCAGGGATTGAGGATGTTTAACTAAAAATATTAACAGTCTTTGACTCAGCAAGTCTTTACTAAATGTCCATCATGGACCTAGCAGTCTGATAACCAAAGGTAGCAAAGGGGGAGCAGAGTTCTCATAACATAATTGTGATTCTCTTGATAAATTAAGGTAACACTAAAGACCAGAAGAGTTCAATCTCAACAGCATACTTTTCACTACCACTTAAGAGAATGCAGATACAACCAGTCTTAGGAATGTGACTAGGAAATTTTAATTCCAAGTTTCCATCACATTAAACAAAGTCAAACTGTCAAAAATTAAAACAATATCTGAAAATAAAATTCAAATTCAAAATTCAAAAAAATAAAAATCTGGCATTAGATACTCTGTTGGGAAAAGGAACACTCCAAACATTACTAGAGTTGTGGGACAATTTTGCAGCATCCATCAAAATGACTAAGTAAAATATGCATTTAACTTAGTCATTATCTTTCTAGGAACCTATCCTACAAATGATTCAGCTATATGTACGAGAACGTTCATTGTG